ATACAGAACCGGGCGACAGCAAAGCTGTCTGCACCACCAAAGTTGGGTGGCGGGGCTCGAACCTCGAGTTACAGGGTCCAAAGCACACCGGTGACAGCGACTAAACCACTGCGCCATCACAATCCAATTGGATAGTTACCCGCGATTTGAACCAGTAATCCCTCACAGTGACTTGGTCCTGATGATTGGGATGCGGCATCCGTGTTGAACACGAGAGAAATCGGTTGGTCATGGTTTCATTGCACACCTTTTGCGTGATGAACAGCAGATGAGGACGTGCTGTTTACTCGGGAAAACAGATAATCTAAGCGCTGCAGGGCTTGCAGCGGCCAGCCACTTAAGGTCTCACACTAGCTTAGACAGGGTATTGAACAGAATGACGGAGAAGTTGTTCACCACCAAAGTTGGGTGGTGGTAGCGGGTAGGGGTCAAATTGATTTTTTGATGCTGAACGAATTAAACCAGAACCGAAACATGAGACAAAATCTATCTATCCATCTATTCATCTATATCCTGACTAAGGTTAAACGAGCTTTCTGTGCGTACTGCTCTGTCAATTGGTGGTGGTCAAGCGATAAGGACGGGACTATCGCTTCGCAGGTGTTTGAATCCCGACATCAATGTCTGATCTACCCTATTTTCTATGTGATACATCGTAACCGTTCGACTGGCTGCATATTGTCTCTTGAAATGTTATTATTAAATGCGATGGAAACGTTTGTGATAACCAACAAAGAGCACTGGACAGCTGTTTCGTCCTGTTTGGGACTCGTCAGCAGTGCGTACGTTTTCTGTCCCTGTCAGGACTCGAACCGCGATCAGATTATTATTAAATGTTCAATAAAGAAGTAAAGTAAAAGATGAAAAATGATTCCGCGGTCTCATGCACACTGGATACATGCAACACAACCACCATATGATTTTCTACACCATGTTCGCATTAATCAGCAATTTGAGTCCGAAAATGGAAGGAACGTGACAGGGAGGCAGATGACAGAGGCTAGGGGAAAATGAAGATACACGTTGAAACTCACCCTGACATTCCTTTGTCCGCTGCTTCAACTGAGTCCGAACATCCTCCAGTTCCGCATCAGTTCTACAAATGATTCGGGCAGCAATTTCTCGTGTGAGCAACAATTGTCTCATACTCTAATACGCACGAACCGATCGAGTCGGTGTTGATGGATAATCCGAAAGGAGCGTTACAATGAGTGACCAACTTACCAGTGTATGCGTGCACGTATGTGCCATAAAAATTCAACCATGTCTGTCTCCGGGTTCACATACATGGCACAATTTGAGCTACGAGATAGTGGTGCATCCAGTTACTTTTTGACGGTNGACGGTGTGTAAAAACCGCAATCCATTGGGGATGGACAGCCAGTGGTTTATCAACGCGGTTATGGTCTCGCATATTGGTTTTGCATCCGCTTACTTTGATGTGGGAAAACATCCGTCGGCACGAGAAGGCAGTGAGTGAGGCTTTGCCAGTAGCGGCTATCTGAAATTCATGGTCGTATAGGAGCATCTCGCGAGGTGCAAGGGAACGGGGNGACCAGCCGCAACCCGAGACACCCACATCCCGACCGTACTGAGGATTTCTGAGGCTACCGCTTGATAGATAACTATTCCGGTTCGTTTATAACCCCAAAGTTCGGGTGACAAGCGGTATCATTGGCTGAAATTTATGTCAATCATCTGTAAACAAATTCGTATTTACGGTACAAATTGGCAACCAACGAATGTGGCGCTAAAATTGCCTGATAAAGTGAATATGACAGTGACCAAGCAAGGGCGACTTTAATGATGAAACGCTGGAAATGAGTGTCTGAAAAGTGAGAACATTTTAGAAAAACGTGACTGGTTTGATTGAGTAATGGGGATTTTTTAAAACTAATACCTCTGAAATCCCCTGTATGTTCGGGGGTGGGTGTCTAGGGTTGCGGCTGATCACCCATCCATCGCACCTCGCGAAATGCTACCATACGACCAAGCGTTTCAACTAGCCTCTTCGGAGGAAATCCTAATCGCTGCCTTCTCGTGGCGGAGCTGTACTGGCACCAAAGTGAGGAAGAATAACCGACATCTGGGGTTATAACCGGGTTGGTGAACCACCGGCAGTTTACCTGGGGGAGTTGTTTCCACATGCACTGTGACAAGCCAACTTGGAATTCTGAGACAGTAATCACACACGGTTTTGGGCCAGTGCAGATCATATATCTCGAACGGATTTTCGGCGGAGTGAAGATTGATCAGATTGTGTGTGTGACCTTGGTCAACCACTATTGCTGCTACTGTTTTGGTATGGATGATGGATTTGGTCATGATCAAATCGGAAACCGTATAAAAGAAGACAGTGAATTCGGGCCAGTAAAGGATTTGACGAATTTCTCAGATTTACGTTCTTTAAGTCAGCTTTCGGTCGCTGTCAAATCAGTTCGCACCTCAGGGATAGGAGGAGAAAATGAAACCAACTACTCACTTTTTCAAACGTTCTACATAGGTCAATTGAACTCGTTTGTCCGCTTCGAGGCGAGCTAACGCGTCCAGTTGTAACGAGCGGAGACGACCAGATTCGGCTTCAGCCATGGTCAATCGTTGTCGATAGTGCTCGGCTAGGCGTTGAGCACTGGCCAACGCCTCCGCATTGGCGAATGCACTCGCCTCGAGTACATCCTCACGGGACTTGGGGGGAGGGGGCAGTGCGGGAAAGACAACACGTCAGGTAAAAGAAAAACAAATTCAGTTCAGTTTAGTTTGTACAACCATTACCAAGCCACTGTCGTGCGCCGGTTTTGGTTGCTGTCTTTCGGGTGCCCATTTGGATGAACAACAGAAGACAGGAAAATTGAAAGTAGAATCGAAAGGAAAGTGCAGAATTTCAGGGGTCTAAGGTTGCAAAGAAGTTGAGAAGATGCAAGAACTCCATTGTTTACGACACTCAGAGTCTCTAACCATCTGTTACGATCATCCCGAGGTCCCCATTCAAAGAGCTCCTACCTAGCGGTGCTCCTAGTTCCAAGTTCTTGATTTCATTCACGCCTTTGGTAAATACCGGGTTTAGGATGTTGAATAGGCTAACTGTTTCCATCTTGTTAGGTGCTTGATGTGCTGCACCAGGGCTGAGTTGAACAGTATGTCAATTAACTTCTCTACAAAGCTGTCGGAAGGTGCGTTTTCCATCGACCAGTCAATCTCAGGAGCGTTTGGGTTGCCTAAAAACAGAACCCTGTTGGTTTGTTTCGTTACTTGCCTGGGGTAGGCGATCAACTGGTCGTCCTCCGCTGTGGAGGGCCGAGGACTACGGTATGTGCAAACTACTGCCAATTCTCTGTGAGGCTGCTTTAACAGACACCCGGCGGATTGGATGTTTGCTGTCCTCAGGTTGGTTATGGCTACTTGAGTTGGGTGTTCCGCTGTGAGTATTAGTGAACCGCCACCGATGAGACCGTTAGTGCGATCACATCGATAGGCCAAAAATTCTGGTGAATGTAATCCCGTAGTGTCGAGATCTGATTTCAGCCACGTTTCAGTGACTGTTATGCAATCCCTACTTCTGCTAATATGTCAGGCCACTTGTTCTTTACGCTGCAGGCATTGGTGGGGAGAAGATCCAATGTCTGCGCTGTACGTTTCCTTAGCAGTTCAGTTCAGTTCTTACAACCATCAACTATGCACTTTCGTGCGCCGGTTTTGGTTGCTCCTTTGGATAAAACAGTAGAATGATTATCAAAAGCCCATCAAATGACAACAATGATAACAATAATAATGATGGTAATCTGTACGTGGATTTTTATGCGCACAACTAACGACAAGAGGTACACACCGATTTGATCAATGAGGCCATAAGAACACAACCTAAAAATTCTATTTCGTGAATATAACTCACTTGAAGTAGCGCGTCCACAAACGGAAAACTCAATGCTTGCATGATGAAGTATTCCAGCACAATCAGCGATTCTAATTATTTAGTCACAGCATAAACGACCAGAAATTTCCCATTTTTCATTATACGAAAGTGAAAAAAAACAGACAACCAACCGCCATATTTCGATGATCTCGACAATAACAAGAGGATTTGTGAGCTGATCTGAATGGGTCACTTATCGTGGAAGATCGATGGATTGGACAAACTACTCATTTACCAGACATCACATTGGAATAAAAAAATGAGTATCTCGATGGATTACGGTGCATCACTTTGAGTGTAGCGATCAAGACCTCATGCAAAATAACGAGCAATCTGGAAGTGGCGATTAACGTGTGTGGACTCGGTTTCCGTAGTAAATTAGACCGTCCTCTTTGGCGATTAAAATCTCACAACCTGATGTACCAACTACCTGGCAAAACGGGATGGCTGGGAATCTAGAGACCGGAGACGCAGGATGCTGGACGTTAATCCAAAACGGAATATTCACTTCTTGAGACGCTTATGATGGATTGACTAACAGTAGTGTGAAATCCTGAACCTCGACAGGCTCCTCACGTCTACTTGATATCGGCTGGAGATCCCGGTTGATAGGGAACACGCACAAAAAAACAACACCGAGAAGAACCATTCATATCCTAGTTTACCGATCATCGTTGTATCTATTTGCTCGAACACTTTGGGTATGCGCGTCTAATGGGCTGTTCTAAAAGCACCCGGTCTGGAAGAGGAGACGCAAGAAGAGCTCTAACCTCTGAGACGTCCCCAAAGCATCAGGCCTGTTCACCAATAGTGGAAATTCGGATCGCCAAGACAGTGTTCACTTTAGATATCGCCACTATGGAAAAAGGGTTTGCGAGAAACGAATAACACAACCAGTCCATCTTATTGTGAGCATATACTATTATTTATATCAGTCACTGGACTTATGATCAGATTGAAAACACCCGACTTATATCTTTATCTTCTGTGTGGCTTATTCAATTCTACGATCAAATTGAATTCTCCACCACTGTCTTATTTCATTCTATCCAAAGCTTGAGAAATCATACCCAGAGGAGATAAGTAACCCCGTTTTCGTTGAGAACTGTTGGTAGGTTTGGGACAAAGTGGCCAGAGTAAACAGGTTGATTGCGAAGATTCTTATGTGGTAATCGACTCCGTAGTGAGGGGGGAGGGATTTAACCCGGAAACGAATAACTATTGGCCACGTATAATTGTGTGCGGTTTTTGTTGCAGCCGGCAAATGGTTTAGACCAGCTTCGTGTTATTCATGCCATATCAGTAGGGGGTAGCTCGTCTAAGCTTAGTCATCACACTCGACAGTTCCGAACGAGTGAGGCGGGAACCTGGTTTTGACCAATACCAGAAGTGGACTGACATAGACGTACTTTGAACACTTGGACTTTGTATTCCAGCATAGACAGGATATCGGATGCGTCGATCGAGGTCTGAAATGAGAAAGAGAGAGAGAGAAAGGAATCATACACTGGTGTCTGAATAACATTCGGGATGAACATTCAGTATACATGAATTATCGAAGAAGAACAGGAGATCAACGGGCAAATAACAGGTGATAGACGAGAATACTAGTCGGGACGAGGAGAAGCTAAGCTTACGAAAACCGGACTTGATTTGGAGAACTCTGGAAAGATAAGTAACTTGTATCGGTGACTGTTTTTGTTCCAGTTATGGGACGATCATGAGATCGAATTGTGCGGTGTGAAAAGTTTTCAGTGAGACTGAAGTGCTCCAGACCAATAAACGGATACGAGGACGACGCAATCGGTGACTCGCATCACCGATAGAATGGAGCAGGAAGGGGTAGAGACGAAAGAGAAGCTACAGTTGTGCAGATGAACCTGAAGAAGAAACTCGTCCAGAAAACCCAGGCAACAAGGATCGGAAATTAAATGGGGAACAATTTCACACTCTGTGCTCGAATTAGAAGATATACTGTGCAGGTAGTGTCCCACAAGTTGGACATATCAAGGCTTCTGAAAGCCTTAGTATGGCCGGGGGTGAGTGTCTCGAATTACAGCTAGTCAACCTTCCCTTGTGTCCCACGAAATGCTTTTATACGGTCAAGCTACTGCTGACGAAACCCTACTCGCTGCCTTCACGTGGCCGTGGTGTTTCCCACCAAAGTGAGAGGACGAGAGGCCATTATCTGAGGCTATAACTGCGTTGATGAACCAATGGCAGTTCACTCTGGGGAGTTGGCTAAAAAACCTGATTCAAAACCAACGAAGAGGAGGCGTACGAACCACAATTCGATGAACTGGCCATTGGTTCAAATGGACTGCAGTTTTCACACACACACACACACACACACACACACACACACACACACACACACACACA